CAGCCGCTGTTGAAACTGATCAGTTTCAGCAGCGGCTGAATCTGGACGCCAGTTCCGACTTACATACAGATTCAACTTAAGAACAAACCTACAGTCCCTATCTTGTACGTAACCCGGGGACTGCCTGTAGTGGAATTGCTGTGTAGACACTTGCATTGTTATTTCAAAATAACGGTGCAGTGTAGACACACCCTCAGTGGCTGACCTAAACACCTCTCCCTGTCACTGCAGCAGAGGAGCCTAGTCACCAAAGTCTGTAACAAACGTCCGTTCTGTCAGGGCAGTGTGACCTAGTAGCCGAAGTCCGTAACAAGTGCCTGTCTCGCTGGGGCAGCATGGCCTGGAAGCCAACGTCCATAACAAATGCTCCTTCCACTGGGACAATGCAGCCTAGCAGCCAGAGTTCATAGCAACAGGTGCAGGCCCCATGGGTTGGGAATTGAAGAGTAGGGGGACCCAGGCCCTCCCTATTCCATCAGGTTCCAACCCAAGGCCCTATTAGCAGTGGTGCAGTCCATGGCTCACTCAGCAGGGAATCCCACTGCAACACACTGAGCTCCTCAGGACCCAATATCCCTACCCCTGGGCTACTTCCTACCAGACTCCTTCCAGGGTCCTTCTTCCAGATCCTCAGCAGTATCTCTGATGTCTCACTGGCTGGTCTCCAGGTCCAGTCCCACTGGTACTTTGCCTCCAAGGCTCTAGCTGTATCTCCGTCCTACTCAGCAGCCAGGCCCAGACTGAGCCTCTCTCCAGGCCTTTATACCTGGGCTACAGTCTGAGCATGCCCAGCATGTCCCATGAGGGTGGGACTTCTTCATCCAGGTGAGTGTGGTTAGGCCTTGCTTCCCCAGTGTGGGGCTGGCACACCTTGTCACAGTCCCTCACCAAAGGCTCTTAAGCAAAGTAAGCTGTCATGGGGTAAGAGGGAAGGTCCTCTCATGGATTGATAACTGGTTAAAACTAAGGAAACTAAGGGTAGGAATAAATGGTCAGCTTACAAAATGGAGAAAGGTAACTAATGGTGTCATGCAGGGGTCTGTACTGGAACCAATCCTATTCAACATAGTCATAAATAATATGGAGAAAGGGGTAAACAGCGAGGTGACAAAATTTGCCGATAATACAAACTGTGAAAAGCTCCAGAAGGATGTCACAAAACTAGGTTACTAGTCAATAAAATGACAAATGAATTTCAATGTTGATAAATGCCAAATAAAGCATATTAGAAAAGTATTTCCAACTATACATATAAAATGATGAAAACTAAATGAGATGTTACTACTCAAGAGAGAGATCTTGGAGTCATTGTGGATAGTTCTCTGAAAACACCCTCTCATGTTCCACAACAGTCAAAAAAGGAAACAATGTTAGAAATAATTTAAAAAGGGATAGAGAATAAGACTGAGAATCTTATTTCCTCTTAAAAAAAAATCCATGGTATGCCCACATCTTGATTACAGAATGCAGATGTGATTGCCTCATCTCAAAAAAAGTATCTTGGCATTGGAAGAAAGTTCAGGAAAGAGCAACAAAAATGATTAGGGGCATGGAATGGCTGCCATGTGAAGAGAAATTAAAAAGACTGGAACTTTTCAGTTTAGAAAAGAGGAGACTAAGGGAGGATAGAGGGCTACATAATCATGATGGGAGAAAGTGAATAAGAAAAGTTATTTATTTAGTTAGTTGTTCCTATAATATAAGATGTAGGAGTCACCAAATAAAATGAATAGGTAGTATATTTAAAACAAAAAGAAGTATTTCTTTACACAACGCTCAATCAATAGTCAACTTGTGGAACTCTTTGACAGGAGATGGTGGAAAGGCCCAAACCATAATAAGGTTCCAATAAGAACAAAAGTTTTAAGGAGACTAGGTCCATCAATGGCTACTAGCCAAAATGGGCAAGAATGGTGTCCCTAGCTTCTGTTTGTCAGAAGCTGGGAATGGGTAACGGGATGGATCACTTGATGGTTACCTGTTCTGTTCATTCCCTCTGGGGCACCTGGCATTGGCCACTGTCAGAAGGCAGGATACTGGGTAGATGGACACTTGGTCCAACCCAGTATGGCCGTTCTTATGTTCTTAAGTTACATTGACATAAGTGGTAGAGCAGACCAGCACTTAGTGCTGTGAAGGTGCTATTAAAAAGAAGACTATCTCAGTTGACAGTTAGCAGACATTTAAAGGATTGAAAGCATGCAGAAAGTAAAATATCCTCTTGCTGCTGCCCCCCTCCAGATTAAGGGTGAGGCAGTTTGGTAGGTGAGCATGGCAAAGCTCACATTGCCACTGTCTACGCAGTATCTATGAATAGTAAAATTGCATCATATAGGTTGCCAGCCGATGTGTTCAGCTAGAAGTCTTGAAAATTCGAACATGCTTCAATATTGATGTTCATGATTAAAAATAAACACATTCCATTGATTCTATGTTGACTTTTCAAGATTCTTTTTAATATATAGCCTTTTGATTTTAGACAAGCACAAACCATCTTCCTGTCTCTCAAAAAAATGCAGTTGTTCTGCATGGTTACTGCATTTTTGCAGGAGTTCTATGTTTATTACATTGAATTATGTTTAAGGGTTTCAAAACTCTGCACTTGATTATTATAGATAATTACAGCACCAGAGGGAAAAGGTGAGAAGAGGGAATTTTCTGGAGCTTTTGTAGGATGTGATCCAGAGTTCACTGGAATCAGTGGAAAGATGCCTGTTGACTCAGGCTCATAAAATGTGGCAATTCCAGTTTGTTCAACTGTTGTTGTTGTTGTTGTTTTTTTTTAAAGAAAATTGAAAATCTTTGTAAGAATTCTATGTTGTTCCTCACCCAAAATCTTTTTGCTGTATTCTGTAGCTGTTCTTCATGCATCTTCTGCCTAATTTTGCTGAATGCTGGTGGGATCAAGTCATTTTGGACATCCTGCTATGTAACGGGGGTGGCATCTGGTTGGGCATGGTAGTTTGTCGTTTCTTGGAGATGAGGACCTATCACTGGGCAAGTTTCAAGTAGGTTTAAAAAGCCAGTAAGCTTCATGTTGAAAATATTGCAGTGTAAAATTCTGAATTATTAGTTTCTTGTGAAATGTCTTTGTATGTGAAATACACGTGCTATACAAATGGAGTATAATCCATATACATTTACAGTGCTCTATATAAACAATATCTTGTGTCAATATTTGTGTATGAATTGAATTCCTGATTATAATTTTTAAGAATTTTGCTTATATTCTTAAAGGTGAAAGTTAAGACCAAATAGAGTACAAAATGATAGAAATATTTGCATTTTTAATCTTTTAATTCATAGCAGCAAAGTATTGTTTTAAGAAAAAGGAACCAAATACACACATACATCAGAACTGTTTAACTTGTAACATCCTTTTAATAGTGGATTTGGGTTCAGCCTGTTATGCGCTAGTGTGGTGACCCAACAATAATACAATCAGCACCTAACATCTGTAAGACCACATAGTCTCATAATGTTGTATGTTGTATAGTACTTTACTCCACAGGTGGTCCCATTAAGATAAGATAAAGCATTTGCAGTATAAGGTAGTAGTCAATGTGACTAAAGGTGGCAGAATCTGGCCTATAGTAAATTTCATCCATCCAACTCAAAGATTTAGTTTCATCCACAGTTTTACAAAGATGGTGAAACAGAAAGAGGATAAGTGACTTACTACAGACATATGAAGAGAACCCAGATCATCTGCCTTCCAGTTTTGTATCCTATACACTAAACTGTACTATCTTTCTTAACTAGAAATGTCATTTGCTAGCATGTGAATTCCTAATATTCTGAATTTATTGGTTTGTGACTTTTCAAAGGTGAATTGCAAGGAGAAAAATGTGCTTGTGTCCTTTACTATTCTTTTCTGTTGTGTAAACATGGATATGAAAATTAAAAGAAACCCCCCTCTCCGCAAAAAAAAAAAAAAAAAAAATCAACCCCTTTAAAAGAAATGACAAAACCCAGAAATCTCAAATATCTGTATCTCCTAGAGGAGCACAGACCTACAGCGGGATAGTGACACTGCAACAGGCTGAAATCTAATTTCCCTGCTTTCAGCCAGAGGAAAGGAGATTTGGAGGGCTCCAGCAACAGCTTTCCTTCCGTTTGTTTTGTTAAACATTCAAGTAAAATGTTACTAAAACCAAACTGCAGTCCATCTGACCAATTCCCCTTCCATAGTCCTGTATTTTGTTTCAGCTACAACAGACTAACATGGCTACATTTCTATCACCTTCCTTTAGAGGTGGGAGTGGGGAATGTACAAAGCAGGGGTAAGCTTATGGCTTACATATAGTGCTTAAACGTCCACGTAGGACTCCCAAGTTGGGTCTAGTACCAGGCTAGCTGGGGCTGAGAATCATATAATAGCAACACACCGAGACCTGTGGACTAGGAGTCCCACATTTCTAAATAGCGAAATCTTACCCATCCTTTAGGGAGTGGTTTTGATTAAGGGTATTGCCATTCATCCATACCTTGTTGATAAGGCCAATGAAGCTGTAAATAGGGAGATGAGGAAACTCTCCTCCGGATTCTGTGGGAAATTTATAGAACAGCATTCCTCTTGGTAATTTTTCCTTCAGTGAAAGAAAAATATATTTTGGAACTCAAACTGAATAACTGTACTTGAGAGAGCACTGGGAGTTGGACTTTAATGTTTTGAAGTTTTTGTTTTTTTGCTACTGACTGAAGTCTGTATATAGCTTTGCTGTAAGAAGGTTATTTCTAATAATAGCTGTTTGCCTCTTCACTGAAACACTCAATAAATTCTGCAACATGTGCTGTAATACACACACACACACACACAAAACCCATTACTCTCAAGTACAGATTTATGGGAAAGAATACTGTATCATGATTTGTTATAGAAAAACTAAAATGCAGTATCAATTTCCCCCCTTATCTTTTCTTTGTCTTTACTGCAGCCATTCTTTTCTTTCAGAGACATTCATACTACCACAGGGAAAATCAAAAGAGCTGTATTACAGTTCACTCCAGCTAGCTGGACCTATGTTCGCTGGTTTGACCCCAAGTCCTCATTTCAAAGAGTAGCTGGAATATATCTTTTCATGATCATCTGGCAGGTAAGAAAAAACTTTTGTGATATCAAAACTAGTATCAGCTCAGTTTACTTACTGGCTGAGTTTGGTTAGAAGATATTATATTCTTATCTTAGTTCATCATTGAAATGTACAATTAAATGAATTTATACCACAGATTATATACACCTCATCTGGACTACTCTTAAGGAGTGAAATTTCAGTATCTGTGAAAGAGACAAGTGGCTGCAGATTGATTTACTGGTGTGGGGTTACTGTATGCAATAGATAGTTATAAGAACTGTAGAAACAGATGGGTAGATTTTTCCAGCTGCTGGTGCAGGTACCAGTATGATATTCAGTCCCCAATTCCCCAATGTTCTTCAACATGTGCCTAACTTTAAGTGCATATGACTTCAATGGAATTATTCATGCACTTAAAATTAGGTACTTGCTGAAAAATCTTATAGCATTTGCGATGGTACTCTAGCCATGGATATTCTCTCTTCTTCAGGAATCTAATCCCATTGCCCTTAATCTGTGTTCAGTTGGGCAAAATTTAACACAAGTGGCAGCTTGGTTTAAGTGACGCCCATAATAGCCCCTAACAACATAGCCTTTAATGATTTTCTGAGCGCTTATGTGCTACTGCTACCTGCCTCTCTTTCAGTTTTGCAGTCTGTAATCTGCCTGAGTTGTTAGGCACTACCTAAGGCAACTCTTAAACTGGTACATTTTGACCTGAAAGCTCAGGAACCACTGGTATGAGTTAAATCATTTTTGGTCAGAAGGAAATACAGCAAGAAAGTACAGCTTTGCTGAGTGACTGCAAACTACTTAGTCATTGGTGTCTGGCCCCACTCACATTGGTGCCACCAAAGGCTTTTACTTTAAGGGGAAAAAAAAGAAAATGAACTGATGCAGTGAATGTAAAATGGAGTAGAAGGAAGCCTAATTTTTATGGGAAAAGAATAATTTCTGCAGTGTCTACAGAAATGTTGTAATATAATCATTGTAGTACCTGAGAATATTTACCCCCCCCAAGATAGCATTCAAATTACTTACTTATAATTTTGCTAATTGGAACTAGAGCTGTCAGGCATCCAGTTTTTGACTGGAACTCCTGGTCAAAAAGTGACCGGGGTAGCTCCAGTCAGCACCACTAACTGGGCCTTTAAAAGCTCGGTCAATGGAGCAGCGGGTTCTATGCCAGGCTCCCTGCCTGCCCTGGCTCTGCACCAGTCCTGTAAGTGGCCATCATGTCCATTCAGCCCATAGGTGCAGGGTTAGTCAGGGAAATGCCGCATACTGCCCCTACCCTGAGTGTCAGCTCTGAAGCTCCCATTGGCCAGGAACTGCAGCCAATGAGAACTGCTTTAGCTCTGCTGCACCAGGGACTAGGAGCCTCCTGAGATAAGTGCCATCTGGCTGAAGCCTGCACCTTGAACCCCCTCCCACATGGTAACCCCTGCTTCAGGTCCAGAACCCCTTTCTGGAGCCCAGAGCTCACACCTCATATCCCTTCCCACACCCCAACCCTCAGCCACCTCCTGTATCTCCAACCCCTAATTCCTGACCCTACATTAGCACCAACATCCCCTGCTGGTGCCTGGACCCCAATCCTCTGCCTGGAGCTCCCTTCTGCACCCTGAAGCCCTGCACCCCGGAATCCTCATCTTCCACCCCTCAATCCCCTATGCCAGCCTAGTGGAAGTGAGCGAGGGTAGGGGAAAGCAAGTAGTGAATCAAGGGAGATGGAGTGAGTGGGACTGTGGGATCTCAGAGAAATGGCCGAGTCAGAGGCCAAGTCTCAGGAAAGGGAAGCGGATCTCAGAGAAATGGCCGAGTCAGAGACCAAGTCTCAGGAAACAGAAGTGCTATGGTATTCAGTTTTGTGTGATTAGAAAGTTGTCCCTTCTAATTGGAACAGACTTCCTTCGTGAGAGAACGATCTCTTGTTTTGAAATGAGGCCCACAGGGACACTAGTCCAACAATTCTTACTCCAAAAATACTTAATATAATACAGTATAGGACACAATGTCTAAAATAACAAATGATCATACTGAGCAGTCACATCCTCATTTCATGTTCCACTGTGAGGATTCTTAAGGGATTAAAAACTTCAATACAATTGAACAGGAGGAATTGTTTCAAGGAAACAGGTGGTTTATTCCAGCTGTTCAGAGCTACCACCTCCAGTACCATATTTTCATATTTTATTTTAGCTATATTTTCATAAGTGATAGACTGGTTTAATTATTTGTGGTTTTGTTGGGATGAGAGCATAAATATGCTGGTACTAAAATATGAATATTTTGTGCATATTTCAGCCACTTGTCCTAAATTTACAATCACTTTAGATCTTTATAAGGCATTTCATTAAAAACATAATTAAAACTAAACAGATATATATAAAGAACTCTTGGGGGAAAAAAGAAAAAGATCATCTGTTACAGATATATATAAAGAACTCTTGGGGGGGAAAAGAAAAAGATCATCTGGTTTTTTTTTATTTGGAAGGAATCCAGTGAGCTTTGGATTTTATAGACTTGAACACTTTCTCCTCTTTCTACATTTGCATCCTTGCACTGCTACAAGAATTGTGCTGTTACTCCAAAGTGCAACTTCTATATACTATTAACTGAAACTTTGATGGGATACTTGATATTCAAAGTGTTGGCACTTTTTCTTTTTTTTTTAAACATTGTGTTTTGGTTTTTTGATTTGGTATACAACTTTGCCTGTTCTGAAGATTGTATTTTAAAAGTTGTTAGTTCTTAATCCAGTGGTTCTCAAACTGGGGTCTGCGGATACCTTGCAGGTGGTCTGCAGCTTGAGCTCAGTCCCTCTCCCTGCAACGGGGAGTTCGTGCTGGCGTTCCAGCCTCGCAGCCCCTCCCACGAAGTTGGAGTGCTAGTGCAGCTTCCTGCTGGAGGGGAAGGAGGGAAGAAAGCCCTGATCCTCCCTGCCAGATCCTCATCATGGGGAAGAAGCAGAGCCGGAAGCAGCTCCGTGCACTACTGCTCCCCCTCACCAACTGAGGGAACAGCAGCACATGACTGCTGCTCCAATTGGCTGGAATCCACTCAATAGGAACAGTGGGAGGTTGTGCCTGGGACATGGTGCCTGGGAGCAGTGCAGGGCACAAAAGAAAGTAAGGAGGACCCTACCCTCCTTAGTCACCACCTCCCACTGAGACTTCGTGTCCCCAGCCTGCTCCTTCACCCTTCTCCCAGAAAGACACTCTACCCCCAGCCTGCTTCTGCACCCTCCCCTCTGGCCAGACTCTCCATCCCCAGCCTTCAATACAATCCTGTATCCCACCTCCACCCACATCCTGCATCCCCATCCCTATCCCACTCACTGGCAGCCTTGTCCCACACACTGAACCCCTCATGGGGGGGGGGGGTGGTTCTACAAAATCCACTAACACCAGAAGAATTGGAGTTTTTGGGGTTGTTCTTTGTGTTTGGATGTTTTTTTGTTTGTTTATTATTTTGGTGGGTTTGTTTGTTTCTCACTTGTGTGGTCCCCCGATCCCAAAAAGATTCCCCACCCCTGACATAAATAAAGATAATGTTAAAAGTTTTTGTATTGGACATAAATTAATATTTTTACTTTATTTAAAATGAAGTTTGGTAAACTAACATGAGAAAGTTAAAGAGCTTAATCTGTTTAATAATTTCAATTAATATTTCCTTTCTTACTAGTTAAATTAAATTATTCTCCCTAGCTGAGGCACTAGGGAGGCTCAGGGGTAATTATATAATTAACGGAGAGTTTTCATAGAAAGGTTTGCATTGAGCCAGGTGGGCCACCGGCCAAAAAGTGGTCGCTAGGATTTCCATCAACTACTCGACTAGTCAGGAGGCACTTCCGCATTCCTCCTTTGAAATGTGCAAAAGCTCCAGCTGGGGCTCTTGTATATTTCAAAGGAGGAATGCAGAACTCCGCATGCATCCCGGGGCCAGCAAGAAGTCCCACTGACTCTGAGCTGCACATGGGTACCAGCTTTGAAATGCACAAGAGCCCCCAGTGGGGGCTCTTGTGCATTTCAAAGCGGCAGTGTAGCATGGAGCCCAAGTGGACTCTGATCCCGCTGACTCCAGGCTCCACACTGCGATGCTGATTTGAAATGCCACGCAGAACCACTGTCTAGCTGACCACAGGTTCCGTGCAGCATTTCCCAAGAACCCCGGGTCACCTGAGGACTCCCCAGCTGATCCCGGGTTCCTCAGAAATGATGCGTTGCAACGCTGCACAGCTGAGGATCAGCTGTGTCTTGCTTCCCCCTTGAACACTGCTTTGTGTTTCAAAGGGGCAGCCGCACAGCTGATCCCTGGCTCAGCTGTGCAGCACCATCCCTTCAAACACTGAGGTGGCATTTCAAAGCAGCAGCACCACACAGCTGAGCCTGGGCTGCCGCTTTGAAGTACCACCTCACCCCCCGCCCCTTTGCTGCCTCTATTTAGTAGAGACACCAAGCGGGGGGAGGGGATTGACTAGTCGACCCACTATCCGATAAGCATTTGCTTATCAGATAGTCTATTAGTCAACTAGTCCTTAACATCCCTAGTTTGAGAACCACTGTTTTAATCCAACCTACAGAACTACTTACTTGAGCTGCAGTGAACCATAAAACATTCCCTCTCGTGTATTTTAGTTATTGTATTAACCCTAACATATTACATATCGGTGAAGAGGCTACATGTGCAAGGGTTTGTTCTGAAAAACAGAATCTCATTAATGGACTCTCTTTTATTTCTAGCTGACTGAGTTGAACACATTCTTTTTGAAGCATATCTTTGTGTTCCAAGCAAGTCACCCTTTAAGCTGGGGTAGAATTCTCTTCATTGGAATTATCACAGCACCTACTGTAAGGTAACTTTTTTTTTCTAATTGTACAGTAGTTTGATACTTACCAGCACAAGGAAGGACATGCAGGGTTCATAAATAAATAAAGTGTATGAAAAGAAATTATGTATGTAAGTCTCCAAAAAGGGCAAAGTTATTACTTTTGCATTAATAGGTTTAAGATTAAGGATAAATTCAGCAGTCTGGGTGTATGCTACTAATGATGAGATTTGATAAGAATGCATCATTCTCTCTTCTGATGGCATGGCAGTTGCCTATAGGGGGTAGATTAGTTCCATATTCAGCTGCCCATTATTTAATATAAGGTTCTTTTGTTGACATGAGCCTATGATCATGATAGCATGCAGATTAGAGATTTTACACCTGTGGGTCTTTCTACACCTGCCTCTAGCTACCTCTTTATCTTTGAGATGGAATATATTACAATGTGTTATAAAGAAAGGTTGTAGTTTCTTGTTTTGAATAATTAGTGGAGCTGCAAAATATGAATTTTGATCAGGACTTGAGAACTAATCAATCCTCAGGTCACCTCACAAAATTATTTCATCAAGTAATTTTGTGAAGCACTCAAAATGTCTTGCAGCAGGGTTTGCATCCAAATGGAAAAATCAGAAATCCAGCTATTGAAGTATATATTGTACTTGTGGTTGGTTTTGGGTGGGGTCTGGTAAATCTGTATTTTAGTATGTATGCGCAAATTGTGTAGGAACCGTAACTTTTCAATATTGTGTGTTCTGTCTCTCTTAGGTACTTATATGGACCCCATTACCATAGTATCTGAGCGCCTAACGGTCTTTAGTGTATTTATCCTCATAACACTCTTGTGAGTAGGGAAGTGCTATTATCCTCCTTTTACTGATGGGGAACAGAAGCACAGAGAAACAAAGGGTATGTCTACACTGCCAAAAAAAAAAAAGTAAAGCCCATGGCAGCGAGTCTCAGAGCCCGGGTCAACTGACTTGGTCTTGCGGGGCTCATGCTAGTGGGTTAAAAATAGCAGTGTAGACGTTCCCACTCGGGCTGGAGAATACTTTAAATGACTTGGCCAATGTCACACAGGAAGTCTATGACAAAGCAGAGAATTGAATCTAGGTCTCCAGAGTTGCAGTTAACACCTTGAACCACAGGGCTGTTCTTCCCCATTATACTTCCTCTGCTTAAATTCTTAACCCTGATGTTACAGCAACATAAGACTTTTGAATTTAATTTCCTTTGTATTTGGGAAAGAATAAAAAGACAGTTATGATACTGTGTGTTCCATTGTGTTGGCAAATGGCATTTCCCCTAATTACCATATCACAAATACTGCTCTTCCTTCCATTCACATTAAATAACCATTAATCTGCTATCCTCAAAATACAGTCACTGTCACAAGTAAGTATCCTTTATTGGCAGTTTCTGTAGAAAAACCATCAGTTGAATGGTTTGGAAATGGGGTTATCCCCCACCCCTAACAACAAGCTGTCCAGATCAGCACTAATACAGGTTGGCAGATTATCAGAAACCTTGCATTGTGCTGCTGCCTGTGCTGTGTGTGTTCTGTGAATGGAGGATAACAGTCACCAAGGCTGCCGGTGTAGTCATGTAAAATGTATTCCATTCCCACTTAGACCCAGTGTCAGAATGGGAGCCTTTCAGAGTAATGTCAAAGCAAGAAAAAGAAGCACATTTTAAAACTATTAATATTTAAACAAATCCTTGGTTTCCTTAGCCTGTTTCCCCACCCCCGAGACTAACCTTCTACTGACACGCTTTACCTCCCAAGCCGTAAGTGTACACTCAGGAACTAGAATAAAATGAAAAAATAACTTTAAAGTTTAAAGCACAGATAACTTTTTTAATCCATTTTTTTCTTCCAAGAAACGGGGAATGATTTTTTTCCCTGTGTGATCATTAGTCCTAACTTAATGCATGAGAAAAGCCTTAATTGCTCCACTTTTGATATAGGGAATATGAATGTTAATTATTTATTTTAAGCGTAAATGTATTTCAGAAGCTTTGGGCTTCATTAAAGAATTTTCATTCGTTGTTTCTATTTCCAGGCAATATTATGCCTACCTCACAGACACACAGTGCAAAAGGGTAGGAACTCAGTGCTGGGTGTTCGGGTAAGTGTTCTCGACTGTTGGAAATGTCACAAATGTGAGGCCGTGTTCTGTTTTTGTTGTGTTAAGTGTTGGCAGTGTGCTCAGTGCAGTGCCACGTTTGATATGAAGCCAGTCCTTGTCCCAAATTCAGTGTAAAAGACAGGTACAAAAAAAATCCTTGTAAGAAATGCAAGAGAGGAAAATCTTCAACTTGAGCAGGAGATAGGATGGAGAAGGGAAGGGAGAGTTATCAATGCTACTGATTAAAGAAAGAAATATTAGTTGGAGCTCCTGCATTCTGTTCCCCACTTGGTAGTGCTTTTGGTGGCTTTAGCCAATAGCTTAACCTCTGGGACATTCATTTAAACAGTGCAAAATGATTGCCAAGGAGGGATATTGTGGAGTGTAATTAAGCTAGGGCTAACCTCTGCCTTCGTATATGAGGGCTCAATTCCTATTGATTCCAGTGATCATCAGCTAAACTAGAATTTAATTCTAGGTCCTTAATAAATAATTACATTTCATTGTAGTAGCATCTAGAAGCCCCGGTCATGGGCCAGGATCCCATGGTGCTGGGTTCTATACAATTTTTATAAAGCGCACGTTGTAAAATATTTCACCATTGTCCACAGATAGATGCCATGCAGCAGATTTTATTTTTAAATCAGTATAAAAATCTAATCTAGCTCGACTGTATTAGTCTTGATTTATTAGTTGGCTTTTGAAATGGTAGCTTAATAAAATTCTAAATGACAAAATCCTCTTCAAATCATAGGAATTAAGAGATGGAAGAAACCCCTAAGCAGAACTTCCAGTCTGGGTTAGTGCCTCCCTCCCCATAGCATAGAGCTTATCCATGAAAAAGGATAATACTTTTTTTTTTTTAACTGATGTTTTTTTCAATACCCAGTGCCACACTAGAACAGGCCCATACAAATAATTGACGTTTCTTTTTACATCCACTTCCTAATTCGCTTACAGTGATTGCCACCAATGAGAGAAAGTGACACAGCAGATATAAGTGCATGCCTAAAAGAGGCCAAGAGACTGGATTCAATGGGAGGAGAGGTTTATTCTGTGTCTTCCTCACATGTGCGTGTTGTTAATCAGCAGGTATTTTTATCTAAATACAACTTTGTGAACTGAGACATGACGTCCAGATTGATAGATAAATTGCCTGAGGATGCAGTGGAAGGGTTTAAGAAGGCTTTCCTTGCAGAGAGCCCGTTAGTGGCTATGACATCACTTCAATCAGCTCTCAATGTGGTGGACACTAATCTAGGATTATGGTTTCAACTGTAACAATGAGGAGAGCTCATTTGCTATGTGGCTGTGGCTGTGACTGTTTTCTGAAAATACTCATGAGACATTACATTATTGTAAGGATGCCAGGGTCACTTTGCAATCCTTTGGGGTTTATACCACAACAGTTAAGACATCATTTTGGGGATTAGGAACAATTGCATTAGTACTTGCAACATTATTTCAGGCAGCCTCTTATTCTGCAAGGCAACAGGACTTCTCCAGGAGGAAACACAAGTTGCACCGAAGAAGGCTTTTTTTTTTCCAGTTCAGCTGGCCAGCTCATAGTCCATCAACTAATGGCAAGTAGCCAATTTGACCCTCCCTTCAAGGGCAACAAACCAGTCATGGCTATTTCCGCTCTGTTTGGGGTCATACTATCTCAACTTCCACAGGGCTTGGGATTCAATATCCTCAAACAAGTAGGTCCTAAGCACTGTGCAGCTGGATTATGCCATCCAGTTTCTCTCTGTTCCTTCTTCCCATGGCTGGAATCACAATGACTGATTGGCTGCTCTGTGTCTCCACAATGCCTGTTCCCATTTGCTTATTTTCCTAAGCCACAGGAAATTTCTGAGGTTTCTAGTTGCAGATCAGCATTAATAATATACAGTTCTCCCCCTTGTCTTTTTGTAAGTCCCATACTTTTTACCAAATGCATGTCGGCGATAGCAGTCTATCTCAGGAGGAGAGGAATTCATCTCTTCTGGTACCTAGATGATTACTGGGAGCAGAACTGAAGAATCCGTCACAGTGGATCTCTTTAATTGACTAGGGCTGATTTTGAACAAAACAAAAAATCAGAAGACTGTCCGGGGAGGGGGGAGAGGAGGAATGTCAGTGAAAAACAGAAATCAAGTTAATTGGGGGCCTGCTAGACTGAGTTCTGGAATCTGTCTCCCACATGAGCAATTCTAGGCAATTTGACACCTGTGTCTAGACTTTCAATTTTAGTCTTCATCTATGGCCCATGTATATCTGAAGTTACTAGACAGTGGGCCATATGCATTTACTTGGTCTAGAATGCAAGATTGCATCTTGTCCTCTTCAATCATGATTGAAGTTGATCTAGCACTCCAGTTGTCAGTCATTGGACAAGCTTGTCTAAATGCCTGAACTCTCTACAGTGGTGAACAGAACAGATCAATGTATGCTAGGGTATGCCCTTTGCTTGTTCTCCCGTGACCAGGACCGTAGTCAATGATGCCTCCACAACAGGTTGGAGATCACGTCTAGAAATACTGATAATTCAGAGTTTGTGGTCAGAACAGGAAGCATCCTTTCATATCAATATCCTGGCATTTCAAGCCACTTATGTTGCATGTGGATCGTTTTGGGGTCAGATGGGGTGCAGTGGCTTACAGTCAACTCTAACTATCTTTGACAGGAAACAATAAAGTTCACCAAACAAGTGTTGTTTCCTTATTTATTTGAGCACTATTTTGTTTAGCCCAGTACAAAACATTAGAAGAGATGGTAAATCAAACTACACAACATGTTTCATCCTACCATTTAGGATGTTCTAGAGCAGTGTGTTTCAACCAGTGGTTTATTTATATATGTGCCCCCAGTACCCACAGTTTTCAGACACACACAGTTTTTTTTTTTCTACCATTGCAACACATTTCTTTAAACAACTTAATCATGGCAATGAAATTTTTGGGTGTAAAAAGTACAAAAATAATAAAGCACTGTAAAACTTGAAATAAAAATTCAGTTTTCTCCAAATTCCAGTTGTATTGACGTACCCCTCAGACTTCTCTCGAATACCCCTCAGGGTTTCGCTGGTTTCTTTTCATCTCATTAATATAAAAAAAATTGTATGCTTGTAGTTGACAGTCCTATAAATTATATAAAATTCTGATATGTCTAGATATAGGAGTGGTTCAGACTTTGAACTGTATGTGGATATTTGGTATAACAAACACTACAGATTGGACCTCCCTGGTCTGGCACCCTTGGGACCTGAGCTGTCCCGGACCAGGGAGTTTTCCAGACCAAGGAAAGTTGATGCTTCCCTGCTGGCTGCCTCACTCCTGGGCTCCTCTCTTAGGGGCTCCCTACCTGCCACTGACCCCCCCAAACCTGGCCCAACATGGCTTCCCACACTACTGCCTCTCCACTGCCCCAGAGTCTCCTGGGGTTCTCGATGGGGACTGCTTGACCGCTGCCACAGGGTGTTTTCAGGGGTTCCTGGCTTGGGTCACCCAATGCCACCGGCCCTGCTGCTGCCGGGGGTTCCCCAGCCAGGGTGCCTGGCTGCCCTGCCCCCACTGCAAGGGCCACCCTGCTGTTGCTAGGGATTCTGGCAACCCACCTCCACCATCCCGGCTTCAGCCAGGGGGTTCCCCAGCAGAAGATGCCCAGTCACTCTGGCCCTGCTACCACCAAGGATTTGCTGGGATTCAGGTGGCCCTGGCTGTGGCTGGGACTTCCCTGTCACCCCCGGCTGGGGCGGGGGCTCCCCAGCTGCCACCTGGACCCACTAACACCGGGGATTCCCTGGCCAGGGCAGGGGCTCCCCAAATGCCACCTGTCTCCACTGACGCTGGGGTTCCCCAGCCAGGGTGGGGGCTGCCCAGATGAGCCCTCCCCAGCCACTGTGTTGCTCCTGCCTCCTCCGGGGCTATTTTGGTCCAGCAACATCCGTGGCCCTACAGAACCACGGATGTTGCTGGACCAAAGAGTCCCAGATTTGGGAGGTTCGATCTGTAATAATATAAAGATGTTAGCCAATTGTTCTGATTCTCGTTTATCCCTTTCCTGATACCTGAAAATCCCACACAAAGTTGGTGGAACATTAAGCAAAAGTCTTCACTGAAGAGCTATTATGTGTTCAATGAAGGAACCTTTTTATTGTATTCGTACATTTTCTGAAGAGTAGTGCAGACTTCAATTTAGGTTCTGAGGTTTTGGTTGCAGGTTTGAGGAATAGAGCTTCTTGATGCTAAATGTATAAGTTCAAGTTTTCTTTTTCTGTAGTGGGTCTTACATATGAACAAATGTGACCAAAAATATAGGAAGATAAAGGGCAGTTTTTGTCTGTATGTCCTTGATTCTGCTAAGAGAAACTGACTTTCTTCTCTGCAGAGAAAGCTGTTTAATCTTTCACAAGATGGATTAGGTTTCTTAAAGAATGGATCAAGAAGTGGCATGAATGTGTGCACACTAATGGATCATCCACTAAGCAGTGTGCTTGTACATTTCAGACCAAAGGGAAAGGTGCCAAGAAACTCCCTTTACTGTTATGGAGTAGTTTGTAATGTTGTGCCTCTCGGAGACTGAATGGGAACACTAGTCTAATTGGCATCACTATATCATTTTGTGAAGTGGAAGAATTTAGCAGGATATAGTCCATTAGAGCAATACTTTATTAAAATAATGAGAGTATTTGGACCAGTAAGGATTTGAATAATTGCTTTTAGGTAGAGACCAGGATTGAAATTCTGGTCCCACTGAAATGGAAAGGTTAGCCAGTAACTTCAAGACAGCAATGGACCTCCTGAAATAGACATTTAAGAAAGACCAGGAGTTAAACTAATTGCTTCTTTTTGTACACAAAATAGAGTTACTTGACTTAGTTGGGGGTCTTTTTTGTTCTGTGTGATCATTTGATTTATTTATTTTGGAGGAGAGTTGGCTTTAGAATGTATTTTCAACCACTGTTAGACTAGCTTCTGCCTGCTTCTCGTAGAAAAAGGTCTAGTGTTTTTTATGTA